TATATATATATTCAACACAAGGGGTGGAATTCAAGATTATCTAATTATCTTCGAGATACCGTCTTAGGTAATGTAATCTAATCTAATTCTTTTTTCGATTGATGTTTCCAATGGAAATTTTGAAAATACGGATACATTTCTATTTTAATAATAAGTTCAGAAATGGAAAATTTACTACTCGAACTCACATTACTATAAAATTTGTTTCCAGTCGTCTATAACCTATATTAACTTAATTAAGCCTACTCCGAGAAGTGTATATAGTAATGTGTTTGCACATACAACACCAATACCAAGATTATCTCGTAACATAAACTATATAGTGTTGTGTGTACACTTATAACGTAGCTTATTCCTCACTAATAAACATTTTTCGAAAATATTAACGTTGCTACTCACCCGACATGCTTTTAGTCTATGTCAATCTCAATGCTGACGGTCCCAGCTATCGCAACGTCAAATGCGTTTAAGATTGCGTTACAACGTCGACGCGTTGTCAACTATCCGCATCAGTCTATGTATAAGAGAACAGAAATGTCGAAATACACAAACTGTGGATGGGGCACAATTACACAGTCTAGTGGAAAGAATAGTGCGCTCGCACGCTTGGCGTACACTCATGTGGGTAATGCCGTGAATCGTTTCAAACCCAGCCCTAGGTTGGTCAAGAGTTTGGAATGATCCATTATAATTTAAAGGTAAATGTATATTAATTATCTTAGTTATGCTTATATTAAGTCACGAATTGCCTAATTCAAAACCTTTTCGACTATTAGGTATGGAATATTCATCGATAATGATCAACCAATGTTAGACATCCATACACTGTAGTACAATTAATTAATTGCCAATATCACCATGGTAGCACTAAACAATTTTGCCAAACAATTTTTAGTCGTATGGTCATACATTAATTCTATACTATGAGAAGAAACGGTCTACGTAAATTGAAGTGCGTAATGCATGTTTTATAACCAATTTATTGCCTTTTAAAATGCTATATTATGATGAATAATTCTTCATTTATGTTTAAACTTAAAGTAAAACTATTACGAATAAATGGAAATAAGTAATTGACAAACCTAATTGAAATACACAGTAAAAATCACCAGCATCATTTTTATATGGACGCACGTCTATATGTATTTAAGCAGTCTTTTTTTAATATTTTCTATTTTTCTTTCAGTATAATATAAAATGTCATAATTTCATAATTTAAAAAGGATAAATTATAAAAAAAAAAAAAAAAAAAAAAATTAACTAACAGGACAACGTATTTTTATTGTGGCCAATAATATTTCCATCCTAAAGTTCTGTTCAGTGCCTTTGCTAAGTTGTATAAAATACCCCAAAGCATACATCTAACGTTGTACTAATATAGTTATTATTGACGAAGCCAGATGGAGATGATTAGTTTTAAGGAAGGTCTATTAGCATCAGCCTTCATATCTGCGAACTCCAAGCGGATGTGGTACGGTATTGCGCAAAAGGTTGGAAAATATACTTTGCCCAAAGAGTTCGAATTTGGAAATCATTATTCAAATACGCACTTGAATTGCTAATATTGAATATATTTGTCCATTTAAAATGGACATTTTTGCAGGCAAGTGTATGGTAAAACTTCAATACAATTAAATACAAGCAATATAAACAAAATAAGGTTTACAAAAGATACTTAAACTAATATTAAAATACAGATACAATTCCAAAAGAACATCAAAGTATAGTAAACATTATATATGTAAGATGTACTAAGGAATCCATCTATAAATTGAAGGTAAAGATACCTTTCATTTAAAGATGGATTACAATCGTGTTTTCAGCAAAAGAGCAGTTTAACGCAATCATTTTAATAATTTTAGAAATTCTGGAAATATGGACACCATAATCTCCTTTTCACCCTCTATGCCTATATTTAGCATTTTGTATCGTTCACACCAATTGTTGACACTGCTGACACAAAAAGACTACTCAACTCCTGGAATACAAGGTCAGAGTTATAACGACGTGCAGGTGCACCAGTTACCTACAAACCATCTCCGGAAATTCTCCGGAAATTCAGCGGAAATTCTACGGAAATTCTTAAACAGTGATATCAATTATATTACGATATGTTTCTATTCACCAAAAGTGTGATTCGTTTGAAACAGATCTTGTGAATGCTAATTCTGATATTGTATTATTTCCTTATTTGCTGTAGTAAATCAGATGCCAGTTTGGCGGCAGTCTTTGGGCGATTACCTGTTTACCAAATCATCGAGATCAACCAGGTGACAATTCTAGCATACGCGTCAATATTTTATGCGTCTCATACTCTTAGTCTTTTCGATATCACTAAGAGTCACAATGGCTCAATAAGAATAGCAAACATTGATTGAACATTGTAATTATGATAAAATTTAAATAATTTCTTATTATCGACATTAATTCATGTTGTTTCTGCTAATATGTTATTTCCAAAACTGTATTACATAATACATCAAAATAAGCAACCGCAGGATAAGACCTCTGAATATATGTTTAGTTCTCTTGATGTTTCATCAGCAGAAAATTGCACCACATCAATTTTGTTTTAACTTTGTCGTGTTTTTAAATTTTCATGTTCTTTAATATTCAAAAGCAGTGCATTCGCTATTAGGACTAAAATTTTGACAAGATGGAACTAATGAGGGTGTTCCATAATTAGGTATCAAAGTGTTTATTTGCTTTTAATTGTGGTAACAATCACAACGTTTAAAATATTTGAATAGGATCACGTGATTTCAAATATTAACAGCAATGTATTTGTTACCATAATTATAAATTGTTTAACATTTAATGTGTTTTGGCGTGAAAGCGTAATGCATTTTGTTAAATATTCTTTCCATCAACGTATCTAATATATTTTTTAAGATATAAAAAAAACCAGATAAAACTTTGACTCCCTTGTCAGTACAGGAAATCATATGTTACAATTATACATCCAAGTGTGTCAAATTACAAACTATTCACACAAAAAATAAACAAACATGTGCATGGGAATGTTCAAAACAACATATAAATGAATATTTAATTCATAGGATATCAGCCAAGTAGTTTTGAGAAAACAGCTTCAAAAGATTTCAAAATCAATAACTTATTATTTGGATTTGTGTTTTTATTATCTTTGTTATATTTGTTATTTTAATATCCTTTTCATTTAGATTTAGTGATTGATATTTTGCAGAAAAAGAGCAAACACTTGCAAGTGTTCAAAATTCTGATTCTCAAACATATATACACTGTCTCTTATACACATCTAGATGTGTATAAGAGACAGTATATATATATATATAAATTTTAAAAGGCAAATGGGAAAAACTTTTTTTTATCAAAGTTCACCATTTATTATCAATTTCAATATATCATTATCTTCTGTTTATACTATTTGGTAAACAAATGCTTTTGAAATAATATCAATATTATAAGGCTGAAATAATATATATATATATAATAATATGTATAATTCACCTGTCTTTTGATATGGTTGAGTTGCTTCCAAATGTTCCGGAATTTCGCTTTGTTACTCACTGAATTATAGAACATATTCCCGATTCTCTCTTACTGTTAAATTGTTTCCCCCATTTTCTCGTACCATGGTTATGGAACGTGTGGGTCCAATTAAATCGCTCGATCGATGGTAACTAATGCTTTTTTATCCATTTGCAGTTACTTAAACTAGTACCATCAGTGATCCGACGCGCGTGAGCTGCAGTACAACGACCCATCGTGACAGTTAATGCGACGATAATGCATTTTCTGCAAAACCATTTTTTTTTCAGTTTTATTTATATATTTTTAAAAATCCAAATTGAAAAATAATATTAGAACATCTAGATGTGTATAAGAGACAGTATATATATATATATATAATATTCTGGCTTTTGATAATGAGGTGTACGATTTTTTTTCAAAAAGTGAAGAGTATAGTTGCTAATAAACATCATAATAGTTCTAAAAAATCAATTACAGAAATTAGCAAGTAAACACAACACACAAAAAGTGAAACTTCTAGAAGAGCTTTCTAAGAACACCTAAAAAGAGTCCACACATAAGCTGATCTTTGACCATCATGGGTAAACACTAATTGAAATTATATGGGTCCTTGCTTGAGCACTCCACAAACACATTAACATTATTTGAAATATTGACATATACAATAGGGCCTATAGGCCATAACGATAGTACTACAGAATATATCAACACGTTTGTCGAAATATATATTCTATGATATCCGTAGTACTACATTAAAATTCAATATAAAACCAGATGGTTAATAGAATATTTTATTCTAAGCGAGGTGTGCTTTTCTTTTATGTTCCGTTAGAATTGTGAAAAACTATAGCCTGTAAAGCACCGGTGGGCAAACTGCGGCCCGACAGCAATTTTTTTCCGGCCCGCGAATATGAAATAAAAACCCTATGTGTGCGGCCCGCCAAGCAACATTGGCTAGAAAACACCTTATTTTTTACGGCCTGACACCGATAATATGTAAAAAGTAATATTAAAGTTGGGAATGAAGTGGTGTAAAAGTAGTGATTGGAGGTTTTTAGGAGCGCACTGGAATGATCGAAGTTTGGGTGCGGCCCTCAGTGTTAAATCAAAAATTCACTTTGGCCCTTCGACCGATTGTTAATGTTATGCCCACACCTGCTGTAAAGTATAATGGAGCGAGTAAAGAGCAAAAACACGGCTTGGTTGTAAAGAGACAGGAATGTGTTAAGGATCTAGGTATTTGAATGAATATTCATGAAGGCTTGCTCCTTAATGAGATAATGAATTATGCTCTACGATTCTATTTATCTTTTCTGCATTTATGTTTCCATGTTATTTTTGATGTTCAAGGGAAATGGTAAATGTTTGCATTTTTTAGGGAGAAAAGAGGGAAGAAATGTATGTAGTATTTTATATTGTATTTGAAAATAAGGAGTAAAGTTTGACACAGTTTTTTTTTATTAGTGGGTAGAGGTAAAATTTGAATTATCGAGAAAGGAGGGAAGAAGCCACATTGAGTTTGAAGTTTTAGTTGTTCTTATGATGTATCTTATAATCATTTGTCTTTAGGTTTTGTGTTTCGGACGCAGCTTTGATTTGCAAAGTGTGACACTGATGTAAAAGTCCAATAGATTTTACTATTATCCAGCATAGCCCCATCGCGAAAACAGCGTACATTCTTAATATTGTGTCACCATGACATAAATCTGGAGCCCCGGACATTTTCGAACAAAATTGTATGTATAACTCGTAAACACTAGTTATGAATATATACCCTCTTTACATAAAAATCGATAACAGTTTTTTAATGAAATTCACTAACGGTAATGGACACTACACATTCAAATGAGACGTTCAATTATACATGCGAAACCATTATGACTAACAATAACATAATTCTACTACCACAATAAAATCAATAGACGAAGAAATATAAATGGAGCATATATACATGTGTACACTACTCTCTTCCTCTTTTATTTGATACCAAACAAATGTTGAACAACTGGTTTCATGCACATTTCGTTAAGAATAATTGATAATAAGTGATACAATTTAGAATAAAGGAGAGAGAAAGAAAAAAAGAAATGTTAAATATAGTAAATATGTGTGGAACACATAGTT